TGCAAAAAACCACGACGAACGACCATTCATCCAATTTTCATGGTGTGTATTAGGCATGAGACCCCTCAACCCTGATACAGGCAATGGGCTGATAGGTGGATGTCTGGAGGAGTGGGTGTTTCTCGACAGGCTGCCCACATGTGAAGCTAGGCCTCCATGATTGAAAGGAATGAAGATGAACAATCGAAAGGGGCGAACCAGAGACAGCCAGGCTGAGGAGGAAAGCGCTTAATGATGCTTGATGTTTTCCAGCTAGGACATGAGTTGGGCTCTATCTGTCTTGTTCCAGCTTCTAATGTACATGAGTAAGCATTTCTACTACAGGAGAGGAGCCTGTACAGACGTCCAAGACTAAAATGAAGGATGGAGTTCAGCTTTAAAGTCAAGTTACCTTTCATAGATTTACATGGCTGAGCCTGAATATCAGTGCTCCTATTGGTGGTTTGAATTTCCAAAACGATTCTGGGGAAATGAATCAAAGGCTGCTTTAGCGGCTCTTTCTGCAATCTTTCTGCTTCAGCTATTGTCTGGGCATCTTTAGCTTGATGGTCATCCCCATCAGGTGGCACCTTTCTATCTCCTGCATTTGAAGGAAGTGACTCAGGCTGTTTGGTGACCCCATCATATCATCAGGCTGCCAGGAGCCTCCCAAACCATTCCACACAATCTTGCATCATTTTGCGATCTGTCATGTACACTTTTTGGAGTCTGCTTTGGATTTCCATAGCCTCCACTGGGACCTCCAGTTTGGAAATTCCAATTTTTTTTTAAAGTTGCACAAACCACAACTGATTGAACTTTTCAGAAATTGTCTCATCTTCTGTGTCTCATCTCAGTGATGACACTTTGACTCTTGGGAACGCAGTAGGAAGTTATCATATTGCCGCTAAGACTCTTAGTGACCAGATTAAAGTTTTTTTGCAGTTTGAAGAAGATCTCTGCTCCATTCTTATGTAAGCTTGTTATATGTCATTTTAAAAGTCTTTACTAGGTCTATATCTGTCATTAAAAAAAACTCTGGCTGAGGCAGTTTGGGAGCCGTGGGATCTTTTCATTTCTGATTTACCTACTCAATTGTCTGAACATAATGGCTAATTCACTGTTATGTACTGACATTGTATGTACCTATATACCTCTCATCGATGAGCCTCTTTCTTTGTTCTTTACTGTTTATTTCACAATTTATGCAACTCTGTTTGTTGTAAGCATTTTGAAAATCAATAAAGTAAATTTATAAAAAAAAAAAAAACCCTGGTGATGCCTGTCTGCTGTGGGGTGACAACTCTCCCAGTTATTCTTCTGTGTTGTCACCCTGTCACATGTGCTCCTGGTGGAGACCAGAAGAAGCTATGCTGACACACATTGCTCAGGCATGGACCAGCGACCAACATATCAGTAAGCTGGTCCAGCATAATCATTTACAGCTGCCATTCAACCACATGTAGACAGGAAGGGGTTTATTTACTAAAGCTGGAGAGTGCAAAATCAGACTCACTTCTGCACAGAAACCAATCAGCTTCTAGATTTTATTGCCAAAGCTTAACTGAATAAGTTGAGGTTAAAAGCTGATTGGCGACCATGCATGTCTGCACCAGATTTTGAGTGTTCCAGTTTTAGTAAATCTCCCCCGAAGTGTCTGAAAGAGGCTGGAGGAGAGTGGCATCACTTCGATTCAAAAAGGACAAAAAAATAAAGATGAAAACAAATCGTTTACACAAAAAATGACTTTTGTCTAGGATACACTAAATTCTGTTTAGCTAGAGATTACATCTACTTTAAAGTGGAATTCCAGCCCAAACATAAGCCTTAACACTGTCCCCCCTCCCCCCCTCCTAACACTCATGCTGACTAACCTGTGGAAGAAAGATATATAGATAGATATATATATATATATATATATATATATATATATATATATATATATATATATATATATATATATATATATATACCTTTTTTAGCCTGCTTTGGTCTGGTCACGGGATCTCCCCTGTGTCTGCTAGCGGCAGCTGCAGGGGAGAGGAGAGAGTGCTCTGACAACAGCTAGTAAAGCCTGGAGCAGTGGCATCACCCAAAGGCTTTCCATGGACCATCTATTGTCTGTGCTCCCTCCTGTCCCCTGCAGTCACTAGTTACTGATACAGGGGAGCTGGATCACATGACCAGAGCAGGCTGAAAATAGGTAAGTATGTGCATCTTTCTAACACAGGTTATTTAGCATAGACAGGAGGGGGGGGGGGCAGTTTTAAGGCTAGTTAGGGTTTGCCTTTTAGGTGCCAAAACGATCCCTGGATTTCAGCTTTAATGCCCAACGTCTGGCTTGGGTCATATTTTGTCTCCCCATCCACCTCGGAGCACCCCCTACAACATGGCCTGACAAATTTGCATTGAGTATAGGAGCCAACTAAAAAAAGTTAGGAGCCAGTTTTTTAAATCCGCTGCCCGGAACTCAGAACTGCGAGAAAGAAATGCATATGAGATGAGAGGCGGAAAGAGAGACACATGAGATGGAAAGAGACACACGAGATGAAAGGTGGAAAGAGAGAGACACATGGGATGAAAGGTGGAAAGAGAGAGACACACGAGATGAATGGTGGAAAGAGAGAGACACATGAGATGAGAGGCAGTAAGAGAGAGACACACGAGATGAAAGTTGGAAAGAGAGAGAGACACGAGATGAAAGGTGGAAAGAGAGAGACACACGAGATGAAAGGTGGAAAGAGAGAGACACACGAGATGAAAAGCAGAAAGAGAGAGAGAGACACATGAGATGAAAAGCAGAAAGAGAGAGAGACACGAGATGAAAGGTAGAAAAAGAGAGACATGAGATGAAAGAGAAAGGAAGGAGACACTTCAGTAGGAAGGATGTTCAGAATACAGCACTTAAGAATTCAGATTGCAGGAATTAGGGATGGAAGGGAGAGAACAGGCACATAATAAAAGAGGAAAGAAACTGACACACCTGCATCCTTGTAGAGCAGGAGTGTCAAACTGGCAGCCCTCCAGCTGTTGTGAAACTACAAGTCCCATCATGCCTCTGCCTTTGGGAGTCATGCTTGTAACTGTCAATCTTGCAATGCCTCATGGGATTTGTAGTTTCGCAACAGCTGGAGGGCTGCCAGTTTGACACCTGTATTGTAGAGCCTCTCTCCTCCGCCATCCCTCCCTGCTGCACACTTTCCTACACTCCAATTTCAGATCGAGCAGGAGGTCCGGCAGTCACATGATTGCGATGTCCCCTCCTGCCTGTGTTTTAGGAAATTGAAATTGGCTGGTCGTCTGTGCAGTTCTATGTGGTCCAGCTGGAGTGCAGCGCGGTGGGGGGGGGCGTTATCAGAATGCTCTGCCAAACTAGCACTCAGAGCGGATTACCTGAGAGGGTATACACGGGGGTGGGGGCCAAATCTCTAGATCAGAGAGCGACATCCTGGTGCCTGACAGCAGATGGCTGACAAAAGCCCAGGTGCCAGGAAGCAATTTCTAGTCGACCTGGCACCTGGGATTTGTTGCGCCCTGCCTGATAACATTTACAAAACAAAATCAAAGTATGTATATTCCTGTTTTCGGTCTTGGGGAGTCCCCAGATTGAGTAGAGAGCAACACCATGTATGGCATGTCGTCACTGTGTGCAGCTTTCATCCTGTGGGGGTGCAGAGCCTTGACACTCTCGGCTCACAGGAACTGGATTGAATGACACTGGGCTTCATCCAACCTGAAAGAATAGTGACGCCACATTGCTGAATCAGTGAGTCTGCAGGGGGCATAGCCAGGGGTCTGGTGAGTATAGCAGCGAGAGTTGATATATTTATGACACTGTGGGGGATCCCTTTTTGAATTTTTGAACAAGCTTTGTCACAGCATTTTCATCTCCGCAAGCTTTTCACTGGTGGTATGATCGCACACTTATTATTTTAACAGATTTTCAGAGGGGTGGGACTTACATTTCCTTCGATATGTTACGGATGCTTTTCGACATTCCGCTTCAAGAATATTATTGAGATCAGCAATTAAGACACTTTTTAGTTCCCATTTTGCATTGACACCTTTTGTCCCCCGATCACTTATTTTGAACGTATCAGTCGTGACTCTCCCAGGGGTAGGGGTCTTATTTCGGATTTATATTGCTCCTTTTTGAATGCCATCTTTTCCACACACCCCTTATATAGACCGAAATGGGAGGCTGATTGTGGTATTACATTTTCAGAAGAGGATTGGGATTCCATGGTGGATAATATACGTAGGGGCTCTAGGTCTCTCTCAGTTCGTTGGTATTATACACCCTCTAGGCTACATATCATGTTTTCAGGAACGTCTCACCTCTGTTTTAGGGGTTGCGGCCTTGCTGGTACCCTTGTGCATGTTTTGGGCTTGCCCTGGTCTTTCTTTGATCTGGCGTAGAGTTTCTGAGGTGGCCTCGACTTTGGCCGATACTCCAACAAATTTGTTTATTGGGAGCTCCCATTTCAAGGGTCCCAGCCAATTTAATGAGGCTAATTCATACGACCCGTATCTCTACCCAATGGACCATTGCCCTTCATTGGAAGTCACCAGTAGTGCCTTTGTCCTCTGTTTTGCGGAGAGTTGATATGATTATGTTTATGGAACGTATACAATATACATTGCTAAATGGGATGCAATTATTCAACATAAAATGGGATGGTTGGAAGATATTTCGGCATTTATTGTTAGTTTGTTGGGTTATCATAGAGTTGTTCTTCATATCTTACTGTATACCTCATTCATGTACTCGAACTTTATTTTTCTATGATTCTGTTTTATAATACTGTTTTTTTACTTATGTGCATTCTTCTTGATGTATGAAGTGAAGTGGTGCTGTTTTTGTTTGTCTATCCCTCAATAAAAACTTTGTAAACAAAAATAATTTTTGCATACTCTGTTCTTAGATAAAATCATTCTTTTTATATACAGTATGTATCATGTTTGAGTGCCTGGAAGTTTCACGTTATATGATGATGGGGTCATGCTTTGTCTCACCACAGGGCTGGACCCAGGATGCCACCTTACTGGAAGAACTGCTGCTAAAAGTGGCTCTGGAGCACAAAGCTGTAAGGTAAGTACATGCTGCAGGGAGAGGGTCGGTATTGTGAACCTGTTTTTTTAGTCTTGTACGGGCAAAGTACAGACACACTCTGTACTTTGCAAGTTTTCTGCTGCCTTGTGTGAAATCAATGTAAGGAATAGTGATGGGCCAAATGTACCTGGGTTTGGTAAACTTTAGCTTAGTTAGGGTGCCAAATCTGAACCCCTTTGAAGTCAGTGGAGCTGACTCCTAAAAATCCCTTTTGGCTATTTTCTAGGCTAATAGGTTAGGGATTGTCAAAGGGCATGGGAAGCTGGTAAATACCTTGGGGAACATGTAAAAAAAAAGTTAAAAAAAAATGCCATATGATGGGGATAAGGGATTCTAATCCTGCTTTAAGTATGTGAAACATGCAAAATTCCTTTAAACATCATAGTTTGGGGATGCCCTGAACCTGCTTGTGAAATTGCACATCTGTACGATGTATACAGCCTACTACAGCCAATTGGCATTTACAAAGAAAAGAAAATGCCAGTAAATTACATCTCATGAGCGCTTTATTCTGTTTGTAAATAAAGCTGCTGGGGATTCCCCTTTTTTTTTACGAGATCTTTATCCTAGATGAGCACCTTGTATAGATGTTAATGGGGACCCAGTGTGGAAAAAAATAAATAAATTAAAAAATGACATGGGGTTTCCTCTATAAATGCATGCCAGACCCTAGCCTTGATGTGGGTCTGTATGGATGTCTAGGGGGAACCCCCCTACAAAAAACAAGAGAAAAAAGTGTGGTGGCCCCCACAGAATCTTTAACAGATCCTTTTCCAAGAATACAAATGCAGGACAGGTTTCTGGAAACCATACCACACCACATATCCTCAACATGGAGAGGGTACGTTGATGGTGGGCCTCCCCAGCAAAGCACCTTGTCCCCATGTTGATGAGTATGAGGGCCTCTTTCCCACAACCCTGACCTGGTGGTTGTAGGGGCCTGTGAGCAGGGCGCTTATTGGACTATGGAAGCCCCCTTTAAAAGGGAGTTCTCAGATGTCCTCCCTCCCCTTTCCCCCTCCTACAAGAATGAGTAAGGGTTAGTGGTCTACGTCTGTAAGTCCATCATCAGTCACCTCGTTCAGCAATGTAAATCCACATCAAGCACAAGGGCATCTGCTGACCTGTTGAAAGAAGAAACACGCCAACGTGATCTGCCCTCGATGACTGCTCACCATGGATAACCACCCCTAGCTGACAGCTGATTGTAAACAAAGGGGTGGGTGTCCCAGGTGACAACATTGACTAAATATGAACATGACTGCATTTGGTCAATGATATCACTCGGGATGCCTTGTGATGTTCCTGACCAAATATGGTCATGTTCATATTTGATTAATGGTGTCACCAGGACAACCCACCCTTTGTTTACATTGAGCTGCAGGGAGCTGTCATTCCGTGACAAGCTAGTCTGCATACTTGGTTAAAGGTCTTAAATGAATATTGGGGGAACCCACACATCATCCTTTTTTACATATCAGTCATCATTCCCACCCCTTTGTTTACATTCACCTGGGAATCTCCAGCTGACAGCTGAATTGGCTAGACAGGCTTCCTGACCACCAGCCTGATTGGAAAGCTGATACAAATGCCAAATGTTTCAGCTGCAGGCATCCCGGAGGTTTGGCTTGGCTGATCACCCTATTTAGTTTGGTTGTTTGCTGAACCCCAAACCCATGTTCAACCCGAAGCTCATCTCTCTAATAAAGACAGATTTGAGGAATGCAGACTAGCTGATCTTGAGATAAGATTTCATGACTTTTGAAGTAACACATTAACTTAATTCTGTTTTTATTTGTGTGCTCAGAGCTCTGCTGCCATTCTCTATAAGATTCAGTTATTTTATATTCCAGTCTGCATGCAGTTGTTCTTTGTGGCTGCACAATAGTCCAGATTTGGAGGAGCCATCTGTTGTGACAGGAGAGAATACTTGTAGTCAGGATGAAATAGTCAAATATTTATTGTCCTGCTTGTGCACGGTCTTATTGTTTTGTATGTGGGATGACACTGCCACGTTTGTTTTCACTGTAGTGGGATGAGACCGGAGGAAGCTGAGGTTTTGTACATACAGGAAGTGCAGCAGTTGGATGGCTACGGACAGGAGTGTTTCCATGTTAAGGTACGTCATTAAAGCAGAACTGAATAGCTTATTAAAAGATGAAATTTAAAAAACATCTGTTACTGCAATACACACCTACAATCCAGAGCTGTCACCTGCAGTACTTTTCTGCTAGATCCTTGGACTTACAGGTGAATGACAGCCAGCATCATATAACTCACTCTCTTCAGCTGTCATGGACCCTCCCCCAGCTTGTGACTGGACGGTGAAAGACAAGCAGCACAATGATGAGCTCATCCCTCTGCCGCTCTGCTCTCTATCAGCATGATTCTTGTGTTACTTCTAGTCCTGTAAAGGGATTACAAGAGTCTGATACTAATTCAAATGCTGACACCAAGTCAAAAATGCACCTGCAGGGCAGCCTCAGGGAACCGCATTGTGGTGTGGCACCATGTGTTTTTTATATATATAATATATATACATACACACACACACACACACACACTACACTCTATTTTGCCAAAAGTACACGCACATGAACTTTAATAACATCCCAGTCTTAGTCCGTAGGGATCACTATTTAGTTGGCCCGCCATTTACAGCTAAAACAGCTTCAACTCTTCTGGGAAGGCTGTCCACAAGGTTTAGTAGTGTGTCTATGGAAATTAGAGATGAGCGAATCAAACATGGCGAAGTGGAATTCGTTTCGAATATTGGGAAATATTCGATTCGCGCCGAATCCGAAAATTAGCCAACTTCGGATGCACGAATCGAATTTTCCCAAAAATGGCGGCGACATGTGTGGTGACAGAGCGGGGATCTCTGGGAAGGCGCGCAGACAAGGCTCGCTGACCCATAATGCATTCATTCATGACATGTGATCGCATTAGCCAATCAGCAGCCAGCCAGCACTGTGTAATGGTGGAGCTATAAATTGCGGCCATCTTACAATTCTCCATTAGCCTGCGGTCATTCAAGAGAGACAGACCTGTCTGTATTAGGGACAGAGTTAGGGCCAGAGAGACTTTAGGGCCACGAATCGTTACTTAGGGACACAGAATCGTTACTTAGGGACACAGAATCGTTACTCAGGGACACAGAATTGTTAATCAGGGACCAGAATTGTTACACAGAATTGTTACTGAGGGACACAGAATTGTTACTGAGGGACACAGAATTGTTACTCAGGGACAGACACAGAATTGTTACTGAGGGACACAGAATTGTTACTGAGGGACACAGAATTGTTACTGAGGGACACAGGATTGTTACTGAGGGACACAGAATTGTTACTGAGGGACACAAAATTGTTACTGAGGGACACAGAATTGTTACTGAGGGACACAGAATTGTTACTGAGGGACACAGAATTGTTACTGAGGGACACAGAATTGTTACTGAGGGACACAGAATTGTTACTGAGGGACACAGAATTGTTACTGAGGGACACAGAATTGTTACTGAGGGACACAGAATTGTTACTGAGGGACACAGAATTGTTACTCAGGGACACAGAATCGTTACTGAGGGACACAGAATCGTTACTGAGGGACACAGAATCGTTACTGAGGGACACAGAATCGTTACTGAGGGACACAGAATCGTTACTGAGGGACACAGAATCGTTACTGAGGGACACAGAATCGTTACTGAGGGACAGACACAATCGTTACTGAGGGACACAGAATTGTTACTGAGGGACACAGAATTGTTACTGAGGGACACAGAATTGTTACTGAGGGACACAGAATTGTTACTGAGGGACGGACACAGAATTGTTACTGAGGGACGGACACAGAATTGTTACTGAGGGACGGACACAGAATTGTTACTGAGGGACACAGAATTGTTACTGAGGGACACAGAATTGTTACTGAGGGACACAGAATTGTTACTGAGGGACGGACACAGAATTGTTACTGAGGGACGGACACAGAATTGTTACTGAGGGACGGACACAGAATTGTTACTGAGGGACGGACACAGAATTGTTACTGAGGGACGGACACAGAATTGTTACTGAGGGACGGACACAGAATTGTTACTGAGGGACGGACACAGAATTGTTACTGAGGGACGGACACAGAATTGTTACTGAGGGACGGACACAGAATTGTTACTGAGGGGACGGACACAGAATTGTTACTGAGGGACGGACACAGAATTGTTACTGAGGGACGGACACAGAATTGTTACTCAGGGACGGACACAGAATTGTTACTCAGGGACGGACACAGAATTGTTACTGAGGGACGGACACAGAATTGTTACTGAGGGACGGACACAGAATTGTTACTGAGGGACGGACACAGAATTGTTACTGAGGGACGGACACAGAATTGTTACTCAGGGACGGACACAGAATTGTTACTGAGGGACGGACACAGAATTGTTACTGAGGGACGGACACAGAATTGTTACTGAGGGACGGACACAGAATTGTTACTGAGGGACGGACACAGAATTGTTACTGAGGGACGGACACAGAATTGTTACTGAGGGACGGACACAGAATTGTTACTGAGGGACGGACACAGAATTGTTACTGAGGGACGGACACAGAATTGTTACTGAGGGACGGACACAGAATTGTTACTGAGGGACGGACACAGAATTGTTACTGAGGGACGGACACAGAATTGTTACTGAGGGACGGACACAGAATTGTTACTGAGGGACGGACACAGAATTGTTACTGAGGGACGGACACAGAATTGTTACTGAGGGACGGACACAGAATTGTTACTGAGGGACGGACACAGAATTGTTACTGAGGGACGGACACAGAATTGTTACTGAGGGACGGACACAGAATTGTTACTGAGGGACGGACACAGAATTGTTACTGAGGGACGGACACAGAATTGTTACTCAGGGACGGACACAGAATTGTTACTCAGGGACGGACACAGAATTGTTACTCAGGGACGGACACAGAATTGTTACTCAGGGACGGACACAGAATTGTTACTCAGGGACGGACACAGAATTGTTACTCAGGGACGGACACAGAATTGTTACTCAGGGACGGACACAGAATTGTTACTCAGGGACACAGAATCGTTGAATTAAAGAGTATGTCAGACAACACGCAGAGGAGTGGCAGAGGAGGCAATGTTTCAGGAGCGAGCAGACGTGGCAGCAGAGGAAGGGGTCGAGGCAGCACTAGTCGCAGCCAGAGGCTAGTGCTCCCGGTGTCATCCAGCGGTCGTGTCTCCACCGACAACCCTGCCGTCATCGATTGGTTGGCTCGGTCGTCTTCCTCTTCCCAGGTCACCTCTGACACCTACAGCCAACGGTCGGTGGGTACGTCAGACACAACCGTTAGTTGGCATGGCCCGGGAGCAAGCCCACTGAAATCACGTGTCCTCTACCTGCCCCTGTCCTTTGGTGTTCCCTCACCAAGCGAAGTATCGCATGCTGTGGGCTCAGCCCCACTGTACAGTGAGGAAGAGCTAACAGAGGGCGGTCAGGAACGGGGGGAGACATCCGCCTCTTCAGCAGCCAGGCGAAGAAGTACTGGCGAGGAGAGTGGCTCAGTAGCCGGTCTAGAGACAGGTCTGTCTCCTGACCCACACGCAGCCGAGGGGGCTAGTAGTGACGCGGAGACCCTAATTGATGATGATGATGAGGGCTGATCGCACTTGACAGCCTCGTCATCATCTGCCAGGCCCGTAATCTGTCATGGGCCCCTGTACCGCCTCCTCATGCTGCTGCCAGGTCCAGAGTGTCTCATGGGTCCCTGTACGGCCTCCCATTGCTGCTGTCTCCATCGCCACACTCTGCCATGTGCCACTTTCAGGTCTCCTCACACTGCTGGTGTGTTCCATTTTGTCATAGGGTGCTGGCAGATTACGGGCCTCCCATTGTTGCTGCCAGGCCCGTAATCTGTCATGGGCCCCCGTACCGACCCCTCATGCTGCTGCCAGGCCTGTAATCTGTCATGGGCCCCTGTACCCGCCTCCTCATGCTGCTGCCAGGTCCAGAGTGTCTCATGGGTCCCTGTACGGCCTCCCATTGCTGCTGTCTCCATCGCCACACTCTGCCATGTGCCACTTTCAGGTCTCCTCACACTGCTGGTGGGTTCCATTTTGTCATAGGGTGCTGGCAGATTACGGGCCTCCCATTGCTGCTGCCAGGCCCGTAATCTGCCATGGGCCCCCGTACTGCCTCCTCATGCTGCTGCCAGGTCCAGAGTGTCTCATGGGTCCCTGTACGGCCTCCCATTGCTGCTGTCTCCATCGCCACACTCTGCCATGTGCCACTTTCAGGTCTCCTCACACTGCTGGTGGGTTCCATTTTGTCATAGGGTGCTGGCAGATTACGGGCCTCCCATTGCTGCTGCCAGGCCCGTAATCTGCCATGGGCCCCCGTACCGACTCCTCATGCTGTGACGTTGCAACAAGGTGGAATTCAACCCTACATATGTTAGACCGCCTTTACGAACAGCGAAAGGCCATCACCGATTTCTGATGTTACAATGCGGATAAAGGTACTCCCCTGTGTAACTTAGATGTCAGCCATTGGCAGCTCACATGCGTGACACCTGCCGCTTGCTCAGGCCCTTTGAGGAGGCCACGCTATTCGTGAGTCGGCAGGACTATGGGGATGAACGACGTCATTCCTCTGTTGCACGTCCTGGAACAAATGCTGTTAACAATGGCTGGTCAGGGTGCGGTAGACGTGGCGCACAGATCTCAACGCCACATGACCCCTGTGGGGGCAGGACAGGAAGAAGAGGAGGAGGTAGAGGAGGACATTGGTGCTCAGGAATTATTGAGGTTGGGTGGTTTTTCCACTCAGCGGACAGGAGTGGAGGAGCAGGAGCATCTGGTAGAGGAGGAGGAGGAGACAGAGGACCCAGACGCACCGTGGCAGTATGCTGTGGAGATGGAGGCAGGGAGTCCCTCGCATTCCTTGGCACAAATGGCCCATAGCATGCTCGGTTGCTTGCGTAGCGACAGCCGAATAATAACCATCAGACAGAGGGATGACTTTTGGCTGTCCACCTTGTTGGACCCTCGCTACCGTTCAAAAATGGTGGCCTTTTTCACACCTGCTGAGAGGGAGGCCAAAATAAAGTACTATAAAAAACCACCTATGTAGTCAGTTGGTCTCTGCCTTTTCTGCGCCAACGTCCATCCTCAGACACTGTGGGCCCTGTGCGCTCGCGTTCCGCTGCCATGGCAGCAGGGGAGGGGTGGGGTGGTAGGAGAGGTGGCAGCTCCACCAGCAGCGGCTGCCTCAGTCTGCAGTCGATGATGAGTAGCTTTCTTCACCAGCGCAGTGAGGAAACTACTAACCAGCCGCGCAGCAGCATCAGGTGGACCTGGAGCAGGACCTCAAAAACAGGCTTGGGCCTACTTGGACAGCAACCCTGCCAGCCGAGGTAGACAATCCCCTTGACTACTGGGCAACGAAACTTGACCTTTGGCCCCAACTAGCTGAATTTGCCCTTGAAAGGCTGTCATGCCCGGCCAGTAGCGTGGCATCGGAGCGCGTGTTTAGTGCGGCAGGAGGTATTGTAACTCTGCGGAGGAAACGACTGTCCACCCAAAGTGTGGAGAGACTCACGTTTGTGAAAATGAATCAGGCGTGGATTAGTCTGGATTTCAAACCACCAGTTCCCGGACACAACTGACTAAATCCGCCATGAATCATGCCCCAAACATGTTATTATTTTTAACATAGGCCTCTGTATGGCCTTCAATTTAAGCTGCTTACGCTTCGCCACTCTGCCATGGGCCCCTGTACCGCCTCCTCTTGCTGCTGCCAGGTCCAGAGTGGTGTCTCATGGGTCCCTGTACGGCCTCCCATTGCTGCTGTCTGCATCGCCACACTCTGCCATGTGCCACTTTCAGGTCTCCTCACACTGCTGGTGTGTTCCATTTTGTCATAGGGTGCTGGCAGATTACGGGCCTCCCATTGCTGCTGCCAGGCCCGTAATCTGTCATGGGCCCCTGTACCGCCTCCTCATGCTGCTGCCAGGCCCGTAATCTGTCATGGGTCCCTGTACGGCCTCCCATTGCTGCTGTCTCCATCGCCACACTCTGCCATGTGCCACTTTCAGGTCTCCTCACACTGCTGGTGGGTTCCATTTTGTCATAGGGTGCTGGCAGATTACGGGCCTCCCATTGCTGCTGCCAGGCCCGTAATCTGCCATGGGCCCCTGTACCGCCTCCTCATGCTGCTGCCAGGCCCGTAATCTGCCATGGGCCCCCGTACCGACTCCTCATGCTGCTGCCAGGTCCAGAGTGTCTCATGGGTCCCTGTACGGCCTCCCATTGCTGCTGTCTCCATCGCCACACTCTGCCATGTGCCACTTTCAGGTCTCCTCACACTGCTGGTGGGTTCCATTTTGTCATAGGGTGCTGTATGGCCTCCCATTGCTGCTGCCTCCACCGCCACACTGTGGCTCCACACTCTGGTTTTGGCCCCGTGACTGCCCAAATGAGTGAAGTGTGCGGTGATTCTAAGATCGACGGCACTCATCTGCATGTCATACTGACTGACAGTATTATTTCTCTTCCCCAGCAGACTCCAAGGGCATTTAAATTAAAGGTACAGTGTTCTGCACTAATATAAAGGCTCTCTGAAGCCTAGAAACACCCTTTTTTATAAGTTAAATTCGCAGCGAATATATTCGACTCGAATCGAATTTATTCCGTGAATTCGCCGAATCAGCCGAATCGAATTTTTGAATACTTCGCTCATCTCTAATGGAAATGTTTGACCATTCTTCCAGAAGCACATTTGTGAGGTCAAGCACTGATGTTGGTCGAGAAGGCCTGGCTCGCAGTGTCCGCTCTAATTCATTCCAAAGGTATTCTATCGGGCTGAGGTCAGACTGTGCAGGCCAGTCAAGTTCCTCCACCCCAAACTGGCTCATCCATGTCTTTATGGACCTTGCTTTGTGCACTGGTTCGCAGTCATGTTGGAACAGGAAGGGGCCATCCCAAATTGTTCCCACAAGTTGGGAGCGTGAAATTGTCCAAAATGTGTTTGTGTGCTGACACCTTAAGAGTTCCCTTTACTGGAACTAAGGGGCCAAGCCCAACCCCTGAAAAACAACCCCACATCATAATCCCCCCCTCCACCAAACATTACACTTGGCACAATGCAGTGAGATAAGTACTGTTCTCCTGGCAACCGCCAATCCTAGACAAGGCCATCGGATTGCCAGACAGAGAAGCGTGATTCGTTTCTACTGCTCTGTCTCTGTCTAGAGTCCAGTGGCAGCGTGCTTTACACCGCTGCATCCAACGGGTTTGCATTGCACTTGGTGATGATGAAGGCTTGGATGCAGCTGCTCGGCCATGGAAACCCATTCCATGAAACTCTCTATGCATGTTGTGCTAATCTGAAGGCTACACCAAGTTTGGAGGTCTTTAGCTACTGACTCTGCAGACAGTTGGCGATATCTGAACACTGTGCGCTTCATGTGCTTACCTTGCTCTGTCATTTTACGTGGCCTACCACTTGGTGGCTGAGTTGCTGTTGTTCCCAGTTGCTTCCACTTTGTTATAATACCACTAACAGTTGTCCGTGGAATATTTAGTAACAAGGAAATGTCACAAATGGACTTATTGCACAGGTGGCAACCTATCACAGGACCACGCTTGAATTCACTGAGCTCCTGAGAGCGGCCCATTGTTTCACAAATGTTGATTGTTATTGTCAATGGTGATTTGTCTTCTAATCCTAACTTCTTAGGATAGGGTCATACTATTGTGGGTGCAGGAGTGCGTGCAAATCGCACGTGTTCCTACATCCATAGCCCAAACACGCTGCTCTGTAGCAGACATGTGGGGGTGCCATTACTTTTTGGCACCTCCACACACATCTTAAAATGCATCTCATTTTTGGGTGCCAAAAAAATGCGTGGTGCCATAGTACCATGCGGTTCCCTGCATGTGCATTTTGGGAAAAGATTTGGGGACCTTTTCCCTGTGTTTTCCAGTTACAGCAGCCCATGTGCCTGCGCAAATGCATCCTTATCCGCACAGAGTTGCAATCGTGTGAACCTAGCCTCAGACCTTATTTAGATGCACAATTAACAACAACTCTTGGCAGGCAGTTATGACCTCCACCAAGCTCCCTAAAGAACATATACGCAATGCATGCGGTTGTGGCACAGCTCTATTGACTTGGATGGATGGAGTTCGGTGGCTGTTCTGCTGCATGTGTGCAACCCTGTGCCACTGCATTTCTGTGTTTAGGTGGATGGTTGGAGGGTGGTAAAACCATGGCTAAACCACCTTTGCTATCAACCTGCCTGTGTGAGTGAGCCCATAAGAAGCTGTGCTCGCCAAGGGTAAATTAACAGCTGATTAGCTGAGACCTCCTAGCTGCAACAGACTACAGTGGGGAAGCCAGTCTTGTGTCTGCATACCAATATTTCCAAGTAGTGGTTTGTTGAGACTGTGTTAGCTTTTGGGGGATTTTGGTGGAATTCACAGGTTTTTTATGTTTTATAGGATAGTCACAGCAATGATGTAACCCTCTGCATCTTCTTTATGGGAATTTTTGTTGGAGACAACCATGGGAAATCATCGGCCTCTTTCAGGTAAGTGAGAAGCTTCTGAATTTTTTTTTTTTTTTGTTTAAAATGAATATGGGGCAGCACAGTGGCTAAATGGTTAGCACTTCCGCCTGGTAGTACGAGGGTCGTTGGTTCGAATCCCAACCACAGCACCTCCTGCCTGGAGTTTGCATGTTCTCCCTGTGCCTGCGTGGGTTTCCTCCGGGGACTCGGGTTTCCTCCCACACTCCAAATACTTGCTGGTAGGTTAATTGGCTCCTGTGTAATTGGCCATAGTATATGTATGTATGTATGTGTAGGGATCTTAGATTGTACGCCCCTTGAGGCTTAGAGACTGATGTGAATGTACAATATATATGTAAAGCGCTGCGTAAATTGACGGCGCTATATAAGTACCTGAAATAAATAAATAAATTATATCTAGGGACCAATATAATATAAACAACACTGATAGGCAGCACATGTATTTGTGATCTTGGTGTGTATTTCCACAACAAGCAGCGGTTAGTAAGAAAGCAGAGGGCTCCCCCTACTGCAGCTCCCAGGTTTCATCAGGTCAGATATTTGCTGTCATACTCATGTTGAAGTGTGTGTAAACTCTAATAATGAACTTTTCATATTTGCGCCATTTTGGCCTGCTAAATACACCCTTGAAAGTTTTGTTCTATCTGTTCAATACATGCAAAAAAAAAAAGACCTTTTGATCCTGCCAGAAAATCTTGTGATGTATTAACTTCCTGTATTCTCTGCCTGTGGGATATGAAGATCAGGAGAGGCTGTGTTCTTAATACATCAAAAATCAATTTGGTAGGACTTGACATTATGTGATTAGGAATTCCTCATTGTTGGGTCAAAGATGAAGGTGCATATACTATATTTCTGGTGCATCAACTGTTATTATTCTGTACTTGCAGAGTGTTTAAAGTCATAAAACACGGGCAAATGTGCATGTATTCCAAAAAAATGTGCAATTTTTTTTAATTGACATACATTTTAAACTAGATACATTGCAAAGATTTTAGCAAATCCTATGTGCTTTTCACTGTTGTGTATGTATAGGGGAAGCACAGTGGATATTTAGGGGAAGCAGAGTGGGTAAGCGGTTAGCACTTCCACCTAGCAGCACTGGTGTCTTCATCTCAAAAACCCCAACCATGGCATTACCTGCATGGAGTTTGCATGTTCTCCCTGTGCCTGAGTGGATTTCCTCTCACACTTGTAAGACATTTATTTATTATAGTTACTTATACGCCACCAATTTGCATATATATTGTACATTCACATCAAGTCCTTAACCCTCAAGGAGTCTACAATCTAAGGTCACTTAACTCACATTCATAAATATACATACTAGGGCCAATTTAGACAGGAACCAGTTAACCTACCAGCATGTCTGTGGGAGGAAAACAGGGCGAGTACCTAGAGAAAACCCATGCAGGCACAGGGAGAACATGCAAACTCCAGGCAGGTGGTGCGATTTGAACTGACGGCTCTAGTGCTTCTAGGCGGAATTGCCAACAACTTAGCCACTGTGCAACCCATAAATTGGACTTCCACAACGCTGGAAGACCAAAGTTTTCCTTCCCCTGCCCCAGGCTCCTGCCTAGGTCTCCTTGTAGATGATCCAGAGCAACTTGGAGCCGACTTCTCTAGGAATCGCATACAGCTTTGTAATGTAGGTAAACCTATCCTGTATAAAACTACAGCTGCCACCTTAATTCTGCAATAATTTTCCCCCCAGCAGGTCCTGTTATCTATGCTCAGACCAAAACATGGATATTTTAGTTTAATCTCCCCTCTAGCAAGTGGATGAAAAGAACATTTATATGTTGTGACCTGGTCCGTCTGAGATATGTTTTGAACTCTATAGAGATGAATAATTCTTGAAAGGCTCCTCACGGCAATCAGAGCCATGAGCAGTGCCAAGCTGGAGGCTGGTCGGGTAGAGATATCGCTGGCGTGACTCTGGAATGTCGGAATGTCTGTCTTGGCAGAGCTAACCTGAAATCTTGTCTGCAGGTGGAATGACATTGGGAATATCACACACAACAAGTCTGCAATTGTCCTGGAGCTGAACAGAAAGGAAGAGAGTGTCCTTTTTCACACGGTACGTGCGCAATCGCCTCTTTCCACATTTGCCTTTTTGTTGTCTGATTTTCTTTTTTTTTCTGAATTGAAGTATGTATCATTGCAGATAAAGTGCCTTCCTGTCTGAGGTTTCGATTAAACAAAAATCTTGAATGTAATTTTCTTGAACAGCCACAAAGTGTTTGCGTGATCATAAATTGTATCCAAACCTAAGAACAAAAATGTATTATATTGCAAGTTTCCAGTCGTTAAATGAGGTGGCTGCATTAGTTTTCTTACTTCAGGCTTAGAGTATTTTCTAGCTTATCCCAACAAAAATCCAATGTTCTTGTAACTTCCCGTGCACTAAATTTTAATAGACTTTATTGAGCAGTTTTAATAAACCTAAAAGTCCAGATGGGATACAGAGGACTGGCATGTGGTAGAATAGGAAAACACAAATGATAGCACAGTCTCTAATGGAATACATCATCCACCCTTTTTTTTGCGTCTGGAACCGAGAAGATCCAGGTCCGTGAAAAAAAACAAATCATTTATAAGGCATGAGGTTGTCCTGGTATGGAGAAAAGGAAGTGGGAGGTGATGCAGTCCAAAGAAATGAGTAGAAAAGTGAGTAAAGCAAGGCTCAGAGATAGGTGGAAGAGAGTGGGTAGGGTGGAAGGGATGGGGTGAAGAAGGATGAGGGGGCAGGATAGTAATCTAGGTGCCAAATCAGCCAAAAGACCTTTTCTGAGGTCAGGTACTGATGTTGGATGAGAAGACCTGGCGTGTCATCGCAGTGTATCCCAAAGGTGTTCAGTAGGGTTAAGTTCAGCATTCTATGCAGGCCACTTGGGTTCCTCCACACAAAACTGGTCAAACCATGTCTTTATGGAACTGGCTTTGTGCATAGGGTACAGTCATGCCAGAACAGAACAAGGTCTTCATTAAACTGTTACTAAAATGTTTTTGTATACTGTACCATTAAAACTTGCCATACATAGATCAAAATTTGGCTGGTACAGGACCAGACGAATTTCAACCCATGTATGTGCAGAAAGTTGTACAGAAGTCAATCTACCAATCAGCCTCTGTACAACTGCTCTGTTGGATTGTTGCTGCTTGATCAGCACTGTCGGCTGTAGCTGGTAGGGCAGATTTGTGTATTCTGACAGCAGGGATGTCTCCCCGCCAGCAGAATACAAAAGCACACGGGAAGATTCCCCCATCCACCTTGAGTGGCTGGGGAAATTGAGTCATTTTTTTTTTTTTCTTCCTCTGGTTTAAGGGAAAAAAATAAAGTCAGTTGTAGAGGAATCCTCATACTTTTGGCCACCCAGTATTCAGAAAACAGAATGGGATTCTACTAGCGAGGACAGGTTTGTCCAGAGGAGTCCTGACAGGTGTTTTGTGATGGGCATTGTTGCCTTGTTGATGGCTTTTTTTGCCTCTGTTTATTTTCCTAAGCTGAGAGTAATGGGATAGCCCAGCACATTGTCTCCGTCTGTTTCCCAAATACACTAACCCTGCAGACACAGTGACATTTCCTTTCCATGTTTTTCAACAGGACGACATTGAAAACAGCAAATACATATCACGGCTGTTTGCCACTCGGATGAAATTCTACAAAGAGAACAAAATTTGCACAGAGTAAGCAACTTTTTTTTTTTTTTCTTTTAAAGTAGCTGTTAAAGAAGCATCTTTACATAGTAAAAAATCTTCGCCAAATCCCCCAGGGGACTAAGTGCTCATAGAACTTGGTCCTGTTAACATCATGCAATGGTTTGCTGTCAATCAGCCCTCAATAAAAGTGAACCACAAGAATAATAATAAAAAAAACCCCCTCCTTTAAATTAAAGAATTGCTGATCATTCAGTTCCTGGTCTTCATTAAGCAGAGATCCGGTGACTGTCAGTCACTGCACTCTGTTCTGCCCCTCCAGCGCTCACTGGAGCTCCAGGCTGTGCAGGGGGTGGGAGTGACTGGCTTAGATTCTCAGCGAGCTGTGAGAGACTGAACCAGCTGCTGGTTCAGGCTTCTGGGTAGACTCCAACATTAAAGTCGGGATCTCTCCAGAGTCTGAACCGGCTGAGTGTCGGCCGACAGCAGCCTTTAACCCTTTGAGGACCAAGGGACGTATTTGTCCCATGTTTTTAATTGCGTGTATCATCTGATTAAGAACTTAAAACTCTTTTTTTTTTTTTTTTTTTTTTTTTTTTTTTTGATTTGAGTCAAAATATTAGTTCTTATCAACAAACAACAAATGGATCTAGTTTTTTGCCAATTATTCATGAAATGGCTTAGTTACAGCAACTGAAGTGTACAAACTTAAAAAAAAAAAAATTGATTCTTTTGGCGTTCCAAAATCTTACGGTCCTCAAAGGGTTAACCTTCTGTGGGTTGAAAACAGGCTACAGCAGTGCAGAAAAAAAAGTGCACTTCTGTGGCCCTACGGCTCCTTTAAGTATTCGTCTCCTTGATTCAGTGTGGCTGGAAAACCGTGGGGGCAGAAGGGGTGAGCTGTCCAGCCACGCTTATCAGCAAGTGAATGGATCAGAGTGGGACTAAGTGCCACAGGCATGTGGTCCCCTAGGAGTTTTTAACAAATATTTTTAGTTGGTAATGACACTTCTTTAAAGCTAAAAAACGGTTAAATAAACGCATGTATATAAGCTGCCTTGTCTGCTATATATATTCTGTTTAGCTAGTCCTGTGATGTAGATACCATATAGCCCAACCAAGTCTCTGCCCTCCACTGTAAGTTGTACAGCTAGTTTATGGATTTGTCCGCAGCCTTACAGTATGATTGGACTTTGAATTAGCAGCAGCACGCTGATAGGTCATCCCTAGGCAGCAGGGCTCTATTATCTTATTGGCTGTGCTAACACTTGGTCTGAGAGAGATGGGGGTAGAGCATGGGTCATTGACACATTGACACATGGAATTAATGCATAGCTTGATTTGGTTTATTAGACAGCCCATCACACCACCTACCATCAGGCGTCAGCCGACATGGAGCCGGTCTTCCATGGTGAGTCTTATACATCCTTATGCAACTTTATTATTTATGTATTAATTTACTTTTTCTCATTTTGTGTTCTTTCATTCTGTCCCTTCCCATTTTATATTTTTTTCCTGTTGCTAATGTTTGTTTCTGTATTACCTAGTCAAGACAACAAGCAACTATATTACCTCCAAGACACATTCAGGGGAACGAACCATTCATTTCTGAAGGTAGGTGTAATGCAGTTAGAACATATTACTTTTAATATTTTTTTTTTTTTTTTTTTAAATTGTTTTAAGAAATAAAAGTTACAAAAACATAGCCTTGGGACATTCCCTGACTCAAAAAACAAACAGACAACTACATTAACACTCACAGTCCAACTTAACCCAAACAATCCTCAGTGTTGAGGGCAGGAGTATACTTGGTGAGATTGGAAACAATCAGAAACAGAAATTTGGAAACATTCAAGAAATAACATTAGAGAGATAAGGTACCCAATTGGTCCATATCACAAAGAGTACCGAGAATAATTTCCCCGCCACTCCCCCCTCCTCCAAAGGGGTTGGGTAAGTCAGGAGGGGGACATATAATGGAAACCCCAAACCTCAATCCTTCACCAATCTCCAACCATGTAGGGATATTTATGGAGGGTTAAGCATGAGATTAAGCAGGAACGATATGGGAAATTTTTGGGGGGGCCCCGGGGTTAATTTTTTTGGGGGGGGGGGGCCAAATTTTTTTTTTCCCCCCCCAAGACCCCCCCGGAATTTTTTGGGGGAAAACCAAATGGGGGGGGGGGGGTTTTATAAGGGGATAATTTTATGGGTTAAAAAAACCCCAAAAATGAAAACCCCAAGGGAAAAAGGAGGGAATTTGGGAATCCAAAGAAATTGGGAGGTTGGGTTTTTTCTTTACAAAGGAAAAAATTTCACCCGAAATTTTTTCCCAAAATTTTTCCTTGGGCCCAAAGTGGGGGGCCCCCGGGATGGAAGTTTGGCCCCGGGGTTTAAAACCGGGGGATTTAAATTTGGCGACCGGGGAAAAGGGGAAAAGGGGGCCAAAAAAACCCCCGGGGGCTGGGGCCCAAAAAAAGTTTAAAAAAAGTTGAGCGGTATGGGGTTTAGGAAAAAAAATAAAACCCCAAAAATTAATTTAATTTTAATTTTTTGGAAAAGAAATTGGGTTAAACATTTTAAATAATTTTTTACTTTTTCCCTTTACCCCCAACTTTAGGGGGAAAAAAAGGGGGGTTTTTTTACTGTTCCCCCCTTTTGTACCCTTAAAAAAATGACTGGGGGATTCAAGAATTTTCCCCTGGTTTTCCCCCAAAATTTTTAAAGGGCCGCCAAAAGGGGGCCCATTCGGGGGCGGTTTCCTTTTTGGGGGTTCCGGGGTTTTTTGGGTGGACCCTTTTTTAAAGTCCCCCTTCAACATTTGCCTTTCCCCCTTACGCCCCGTTTTAAATCGGTTTAATAATTTTTAACCCCTGGCCCTTACAAATTTTCCTTTGCCTCCAAAATGACCAATTGGGCAAGGGAATTTTTTCTAATGGGGCCCCGAAAGTGGATTCCCCAAAACCCCCTTTTTTTGGGGTAATTTTTAAACTTCTAATCCAAAATTCCCCCCTCACCCCAACCCTTTTCCACCATTTAAATTTTTTAAATTTAATCAACAAAAACCCCCTTTCCCAAAAAACAAAATTCTTTTTTAAATTTTTTTCCCCACAAAACCTTTAACCCCTTCCCCCTAAACCCCCTACCCCTCTTTACCCTCCCCCCCCCCCCACCACAAAAAAAATACACCCCCTCCCCCCTCTCAAAACAAACCAAAAAAAACCAAATCAAAAAAACCCCCCCAAAAAAAACCTTTTTTAAAACTTTAATTTTTTCAGAACTTTTAAAAAAATTAAAATAAAAAATTTTAAAAAATTGTTTTTTCCCTTGGTAAAAAAAAAACTTACCTTTTAAAAAACCCCGTCACATTTAAATTTTTTTTTTTTCTAACTTTTTTTTTCAATATAATATTTTCCCCCCCCCCCCCCCTTTCACCCCCTACCCATCCCCCCTCTTTGGGGGGGGGGTTTTTTCCCAAAAGGGGTGGGGGGGGCCCCAAAAGGGGGGGGGTTTTTTCTAAATTTTAGGAGTTCCGGGGGGGGGGAACCTAAATCCCCGGGGGAAACCCCCCGGGAAAAATTTTCCCCCCCCCCAAAAAACCCCCCAAACCTGATATTAACTTTTGTAACCTTTTTTGGGGGGGAATTTAATTTAAATTTGGGAAGGGGGGTAAAGGGGGGGGGGGTCCGGGGGGGGGGGTTGGGGGGGGCGGGGCCCTATTTTTGGGGTTTGAAGGGGGGGAGCCCCCTCCCCGGGGGGGGGTGGGGGGAGTTGCAGTAGTGGGTGAGATAATCGGGGAGTGTACTTAGTTTAGTTTTTTGGGGGGTGGGAAGGGGGTTTTGGGTATTGGGGGTGGAGTCTGATGTTTTTGTGAGAGTTTGATATGAGGTTTAAAGGAAAGGTTTGAGCCCGTGACGCCAAAGGACTTTGCTTGTGGGCGGGATTGATGGTGGAGAGTGTGAAGGGGGGGGGAGTGATGGGCGGGCGGGGGTATGTGGGGGTGAGGTGAGGGGGGGTAAGCATGTCGACTGTCATTGGCATCGAGGGTTGGTATGTGGGCCTGGGTGGCGAGTGCTTATGAGGTGGGGGAGAGAGGAGGTGTTGGTGCGGCTATTAGAGAGATAGCTGTTGAGCGACAGAGCCATTTGTGGACGCCAAACAGAGATCGCTTTGTGAAGGTAGTAGTTTCTAGTCGTGCGAGGGTGTAGGAAACGCTGTTGAAGGAGCGAATGGTGGATAGGATGAGTACATGGATTGAGTAGCGGTGTCTTGATGCCATGGGAGATTACTTTATTAAGGACGTGGGTGGGGGGGGGGGGTAGTGGTGACTGTGTCAAAGGGCCGCGGGACGGAGAGGTGCTCGGACAGGATGGTGGACAGAGTAGTCGCTGGTTGGCTTTTGGGGTTGTGGGTCGGGGGTGGTTTTGATGGAGGGGAGGTGGGTGGTGTGTAAGGGACGTGGGGTGGGCTGTTGGGTGGTGAAGGGGCGGCTGAAACTGTCATTGTCATGGGTGGGTGGTTTCTGTGTGATAGGTAAGGGCTTGGAGTTGATTTTGGATTCTAGTTGTATGGCGGTATGGGTAGTTGTTGGCACAATTTATGCATTTGTAATATAGGTTCAAATGGTCTTTCTACTAGGGCGGGCTTTTGGTTTTTTATGGGGGTATATTTGCGTTTGTTTTTAGGGGGGAGAGGGATGACGTAGTAGGTAGTTTTGGAGTTTATTAAAGATGTGGGAAGGAGGAGCGGTATGAGGGATAAGGGGGGGTGACGGAGGAGTTGAGAGGGGATTTTTGTCCCAGGGGGGGTAGTGAGGCGGGCTTCTGAGAAGACTCTCTGACTTCCTCAGTGGTAGTCTTAAAATACAAGGCTGAAGGAGTGCAGTCGATGGGGGGTTACGACAGTAGGCTGGGCCTTGGGGGTAGTTGGTGGGGGGGCAGTGCGTTGCTAGGTGAGGTATGAGAGATGAGGGTTGTGATGGAAGGTGGGGGGGGACGGATAGATGGGGTGGTAGATTGCAAGTTGACTATGTCCTTGCGGATTGCGTCAATCTTTTTGTTGTTTTATTTTTTCGTTGAGTGGCAATTTCGTGGTGGCGGTGAGTGAGGTACTAAGTGGAGGAGGGGAGTTGTAGAGAGCAGGGAGTTGAAGGTGGAGAAGAGTCGGCGAGGATTGGTGGAGAGGGTGTTTAATCAGGTTAACAAAGTAGGTGCTTGGCGGCGTGTGATGGAGGAGGTGTAGGTGAGGAAGTTTGCTTAGACGGGAGAAATTCATGAGGGGACTAGGTTTTGCGCCATAGTCTCTCCAGCGCACGGTGCGACGTTTGAGGCATTTAGTATGGTCGTTCTGCCATGGTTGAGCGGTCTGGGTTTGATGTTGCGTGTGGTTAGGGGTGCCAGAGAGTCTAGGTAGACTGATAGTGAGTCATTGTACGTGTTAGTGGCTAGGTCAGGACATGACAGTGGAAGGATGCTGTCGTGTAAGCGGTCGGCAGCCGAGTGGAGAGGGGGCCGGGTGCAGGTTGCGGAGGTTGCGGCTGGTGATGGTTTGGCGCACTGGGGGGGGGAAGTTAGGGGGAAGGGGAGGGAGGGGGGGAACGTGAGGAGGTGGTGGTCGGAGAGAGGGAAGGGGGTGTTAGTGAAGTGGTTAAGGGTGCAGAGGTGGGAGGGGACGAGGTCCAGGGTGTTCCCATTGATTAGTGGGTGGAGGATTGAGGTGTATTGGTGTGAGTGTGAAGGAGGAGGGTTAGGTGGAGGAGTTGGGAAGTAGCTGGGTGTGTTGTCATTGATGGGGATGTTGAAGTCCCCGAGGATGATGGTCGGGAGCTCAAGGAGAGGAAGAAGGGAAGCCAGGCGGCGAAGTCATCCAGGAAGCGGGCTATGGATCCGGGGGGGTGTAGATCACTGCGATCCTTAGGGGGGTGGGTGAGAAGAGCCGGATGCAGTGAGCCTCGAAGGAGGAGAAGGTTAGGGAGGGGGGGGGGGGGGGACCTGGAAGGTGCTCAGCGGTGATAGGAGCAGGCCGACACCACCACCTTTGTGACCGCCCAATCTAGGTGAATGGGACCAGATGAGACCTCCATGGGGAGAGTGCCGCAGGGGAGGTAGTGTCAGTGGGCCTGTACCCAGGTTTCGGTGATGGCTAGGAGGTTGAGGGAGCGGGAGATAAAGAGGTCATGGATGGCAGTTAGTTTGTTGCAAAAACCGAACGGGGCGTTCAGAAGTGCAACCGAGAGAGGGGGGATGGATGCGGGGAGGAGGTGCACAGGTATGAGGTTGAGGGGGTTGCGGCGGCTGGCGGGGGCAGGGGGGTCCCTGGAGGGGGGGAGAGGTGTGGTGAGGGGCCAGGGTTCGGGGAGATGTCCCCGGCGGATAGGAGAAGGAGAAGGGTGAGGAGGGTGGGCATGGGAATGGGAGGTGTAGGAGCGTGGGGTCTGGTAGTGGTGGCACGTGGGTCGACCGGGGAGTGGAGTACCAGGAGGAGGTGGTGAGTGCCGTAGTGGGGAGAGGGCAGAAGTGAAGGGGCAATGTAGAGCTGTTTTGGGGGGGGTGGGCGGGTAGAG